TGCGGGGCGTGGGGGGGGGAGGGGAATGGTAATTATGTATTAGTTGAATTCTCAAAGCTCATTGGATAAGAAAAGTGTCATCAGGGGGAAGAGGGTGGGCTGAAAATGGTGTGATTGAGGCCTAATTTGCACATCAAATAGATTTTTAAAAAATTAACCACACAAATATGATAAAATCCATTCTCAAAATTAAAAATCTTTTTATCTCCACTGTTGGGGTCCAGCCCCAGCAGGTCCAGGGGTTCCCAAAGGTGTGGACAGAGTTGGCGAAGAAGGAATGACACGGAGACAGCGTTCAGTTGATCAGCAGCCTAGGCAGGATCTCTAGCCAAGTTCTGTGTGTTATTGTCTTGTTACATCTGTATTTATACCAGTTGATATTAATCCTATCAATTTCTATTCCAAAGGTTAGGGCGTTCCTTATCTCCATTCCAGGGAGTAAAGATTATGTAGCTTAAGTGTGATTGTTCATAGTTAAAGTGATTAACTACCTGCCTGGCACTTAGTTAAGGGGTTTTATTCCCTCCCTAACTTCAGGGAAAAATCCCTACCTGGGGAAACAACCTTTCTCGGAGAGGTGACCTTGGTTAAAACACATAGCACCAAGAAGGTGAGCAAACATATTAAGAACAGTATGCCATATACGCCGGGTCCCTCGAAACATATGCTGTGCAGATGTTTCTTCCCTGCAGCGACTGTGTCAAGCAGCAAGGATGGACCAGCTTCCAGCACTCCACCTATAACAAATTAACTTTCCTAGGATGTCTTCTAGCTCTGTGAACATACTTGATTCTTACATATTATAGGAGGAACAATTTGGTACTTGCTTTATTGGGTTTACAATCTTTCTGATTGTAATAGTATCGGTTGCACTATATCCCATCATGTGGACATCGCAGGCGGAGCGCTTCACTAGCGGTAAGTAAATAACACTAAAATCCATTGTTTGTGTACTAAGCTTTTCCTCTCTTGTAGGATTAATAGACCTCAGTGAATCTTTTCAGGACTAACATTCTTGAGAAGTGATTGCATAACTAAGGCTACAGTTAACATCACCATTACTAATTACTGGCAACTAGAACTTCTTAGGATCAAATGCCCAACAGATATATCCAATTTATACTAAAAGCACCTCTTGCAGGTCACAGGGACATCCCTGTCATGTTTTTTACCTTAAAACTGCATTGCTTCAGCCCTGCCAGAGTGACTCAGTTGGTTGAGCATAGTCCTGTGCACCCAAAGGTTGGAGGTTTGATTCCCGGTCATACCTGGGTTTTGGGTTCAATCCCTGGTCGGGGCACATATGGAAGGCAACTGATTGATCTCTCTATATATTCTGTTCTGAGGAATAAGAATAAGAACGAAGTCTGTTGCTTTGTTTTTATCTCATTGCTCTTGTGGGAGGGTAGAGGAACATAAAAACCAAAGCTTGAACATAAAGTTATAGTCATGGGACACACAGAAAGAATTATGAATATTAAGGGCTTAATGGATATATAGTATATAACAAAGGCTTTGTACCATATACTATAAACAATACAAGAGTTAGTTCTATGTAATGGTCTTCACACATTCAGGATGCCTATCACTTGGTAATATTTCAGGACATTTCTAATAAACTCAATATTCAAGTCATTGTTGGGCCAAAACACTGATGAAGGCTGAAGCCAAACACACAATTATTATCTGAATAATCAAATGAAAAATAGGTTTTGTTGTTTATTTTCTGCAGGGTATGAGTAGAAACTGTGATATTAAACATTCAAACCCAGCTCAATATAAAAAATTCATAAAAGACAAAGTGGTATCATGGATTAAATCTTGGAATAAGGAAAAGAACATTAGTAGAAATTAACATGGATACTTACTATTAATTAAACTCCAGACTTTTCCATTTTCCACTTTTATGAGTAATTACTTGATGTATATGAATCCTTATCAGTGTTTCAGTTTATTTCCTCAGGATAGATTCCACAGAGATACTGGTTAACTGACTTTTCTGGCCTGACCTCGTTAAGAACACGGTTAAGGACCAAAACTTAGTTTGAGCCTGTGAGGGTCGGTGCACAGAAACCCAGGTCATGCGGTCGATGATGGTCTTTCCGGTTCATGGTGGGGGAGGGAGGGGGCATGTCAAATTTTTCCAGATCCTTTGTTTGGGGTCCTACCATCAAGTTTAATCAAATAGCAAATGTTATTTGAGTGGTTAGTTAGTTAAGAATAAACATAGATAACTAGGACTCTTACTTAAGGTCACTTCTTTGACAGGAGCCATTGAAAAAAATGTGTGTATCAACACGTTATGAGCTCTCCCATTAGTTAAAAAACCCTCCAGTTTCCATTTTGCCCTCAACCCCTCATCTGTCCACATGAATGTGAGCAAACTGGACAGACCACTGCCTCCACTCGTCAGTTGACTGGCAGCAACTATGAGCATTTCAGAAGTTTCTCAGCACATGTGGCAAAGAGGATTCAGGAAATGGAAAGATTAGAATCATATAGAACCAGCCCCACAGTCTGAACCAAAAACATCTCAGTTGGGGAATCATTCATTAACCATATCATTATTTCCATCATCATTAAAATAGCAGATATTTATTGAACATCTACTTAATATTGGACTTGATCAATGACAATAATTGGGCAAAGGAAATTATTTTAATGGAATTCCTCTGAATATGACATATAGATTTTGTAGGCTAAGAAATCTTAATGAAGTCTTATGTCTTAAAGTGTTGGCTGTATTTTTTGGTAGTAATTCTTTCATCTATCTTCTACACATGCATAGTTTTCTAAAGTTAATACTTGTGGGTAATTCTGAACTAAAATAAATTAGTTCTTTGAAAAACCCAAACTGTTTTGTAACTGTCAATATATCAACCACTTTAATAGCTAACAAAGGTTTTTGCCAAAGTCTTGAAGATCATCAGACCAGCAAAGTACAGGTAACTCAGCTGCCTAAAGCAGAAAAAGGGACAATCATATTCTGTTTATTCACATCTTATTTTCCCCAAGTCTAATTCAGTTTAAGCTTGATTGATTCTCTTTCAGACTGACAGGCACTGAATCATGCTAATAGGCGGAACACCATTTCTCATAAAATGCCCTTTTTCTTTATTTACACACAACTGAACAATGAGTTCCCATTCACTAATTCTGCACTACAACATTTTCTGTAATGGATACTGTAATGTCATGAAGATTAGAATTCTGAAATGAAAATAATATTGCTACTTTGTTGTTAACCAATTCTTCTAATGTCATTTCCAAAATGATGCATATGATTTCAACAAAGCTGTATGACTCAACAGATATGCCAGCATGACTTTTACTTCATTTGTCTCATAGAAAACCCATCCCAACCAGATAAAAGCCACTCAGCAAGGAAGGGCTTAAAATGGCTAAAACTTTCCATAACTAATCCTCAAATTAATTGAAAAAAAATTAATGAAGATCTGCCACCTAAATTGCAAATAAAAGTATTTGGAATTGTCCAAATTATTATAAACTAGAGGCCCAGTGCACAAAAATTTGTGCACTGGCGGGGGAGGGGAGGTGGGGAGGGTGTCCTTCAGCCCCACTTGTACCCTCTCACAGTCTGGGACCCCTCAGGAGATAACCACCTGCTGGCTTAGGCCCCCTCCCGGGACACAGATAGCAGGCCCAGATGGTGGTGGGGCTGATGGGATGGCGCTGTCCGGCCCTGCCTGCAGTATGCAAATTAGCCGCCATCTTTGTTGGTGGTTAATTTGCATATCGAGCTGATTAGCCAATGGGGGTGTAGCAAAGGTACGGTCAATTACCATGTTTGTCTATTATTAGATAGGATTATTAAAAGATAAGAGATCCTGCAGCTATGTGTGTCCCATGGGTTACAGTCTGAATTGTGTCCCCCCAAAATTCAAATGTTAAACTCCCAACCCCAGCACTTCAGAATATAACCGTATTTAGAGATTCTGCTACAATGAGGCAGTTAATTGCTAAGCCAATCTGACTGGGTCCTTAATAAGAACAGGGAGAGATATCAGGGACCCACAAGCACAGAGGGACAGCCACGTGAAGAGGCAACAAGAGGAGAGAAGCATTGAGAGAAACCAAACCTGCCAACACCTCCATCTGGGACTTCCACCCCCAGAACTGTGAGAAAAACCACTCAGACTGCGTCATCTCCCTCTTACTCTCCCAGTGGGAGAGAAGAGCGATCATCAATGGCTGGTGGCAGCTGCAAAAGCAACGCCAAAAGCCGGCTTCACGCTCAGGAGAGAACGCTGCACCTCCTCCTTGTGGTTTCGGGTGCTCTACACGTCCAGAGAAACTTCTCTAGTGACAAACTATAGAAATGATCCCTGAAAGTATAGTCTTAACCTGGGGGTGGGGGCTTTTCCGAAGCGAACGAAACCCACACATACCATACTGATGGTGACTTTTTCCAACTGTGCTATTTTACCCACACATATATTGGCCTGAGTTTTCTCAAAACCTTTTCACTCTCAAAGCTTGACAAAGTGTTTTGAATCCTCCAGCATTTTTGAAACAGTTCAAGCTGACACGTTAATTAGCATACAATTACTGAATGGCCAATCACATACCACTTATTTCTAGCCCCGCCTGGTTTACGTAAACGCTGACGACAACAAAGTGCACCAGCTGTGGGACAAGCCTCAGCTTAGACCGAGGCGTGGAAGCCGGGACCTTTCACAAGAAAAACATGAAAGTGGAAGATGAAATGACCACCCAAAGCAGAACTCTGACATTTGCAAAGCACGCCCCATTTTTAAACTTTGTCCTGTGATCAAAGCACCAGATGTGTAAATGTTGTTTTCCAAATAAAGGGATTATTAGGTCATAAAAAAAAAGATAAGAGAGCGGAAATAAAGAAGGGTGGAAAGGAGGGAGGAAGGAGAAAACATGAGAAAGAAGGGAAAGAAAAGACAAGGGGAGAGAGGAGGAAGAAAGCAAGGAAAGAAGGAAGGAAGGGAAGGAGAAAAGTTAGTTGGAGGAGAAATTCTTTGACCTATTATGGGAGAAGCAAGGGGTGGTCATCAAAATGGCATCACTAAGCCAGTCAAGATCTCTTGAGAAAATATTCATTGGAGTGGAAGAATATTCAATTTTCTGTTAAGCACGCTTAGGCGATCCTCTTGTTCTCTTTCCTTTCTCCTTAGCTCAGATGCCTTGGCAACTGTCATGTGATCCAGCAAACACAGCCCTCTCCAGGGTAGCACCTTGGCCTGAACCAGTCTCTCTCTGCAGGGAGCAGGTTGGTGTTGCTGTTTGCGATGCGCAGGGCATCCCGGCTGACACTTCCCTGCAGAAGTGAGTACCTGCAGAGCACATGGGAGAAAGCCTACCAGGACCACAGGAAAAAGGTAGGAACGGTGGGTGCCAGGCCCTGGTGGCTCAAGGTGAGGCCCCCAAAACAGTAACCATGAAATGCCAGGGCTTTCCCTGAAAACCAAAGCTAATTTTCTTTTCAGAGATGGAATAGTTGAAATGACATTTCCTTAAAAAGTTGGTCACATATGTTGCCATACAATAAAAATTCCATTAAATAGATCATGGTTTTCATGTGTTATGTTTTAGGACCATTTCCTTTTCAATTAAAGCATATGTTTATAAAGTACTTAGTTTTTCATAAATCACTCAAAAGTATCTTAAGACAAAAAGATCCGAGGGACCCTTTCCCCTATCAAAACGGCATACTCCCTCATGGCCAGTGTGCCTCAGTTGGTTGGAGCATGGTCTCATATACTGAAAGGCTGCAGGTTTGATTCCTGGTCAGGGCACATATCTAGGTTGTGGGAGCATACAGGAGGCAACTGATCAATGTTCTCTCTCACATCAATGTTTCTCTCTCTCTCGCTCTCTCTCTCTCTCTATCCCCCTCTCTCTAAAATCAATAAGCATATTCTTGGGTGAGGATTAAAAAAAAATCAGTATTCTTCAGTGGGGACAAAAAGCCATTTTTTATCTCCATTAGAAGATTCATTATTATTTCCATTTGATTTGATGCAAATGTGGACGTCTTTTGAGAAGGTCACCATGAGGTTTCCAAATGGCCTGCCGTGGTCTTCTGCCTATGAGACCTCAGGGGAGCCATCCAACTGCTCAGTGCTGGGTTGGTCATGTCTCTACATCAGTGTTCATCCAGGTTGAGAAATGCCCTGAGGGGATATTCTGGAACAGATTGTTGCTCTGTGATTGTCTGTAGCGATCCCCCCAGGCAGTGGAACCAAGGTTTCTGCAGGATAATGAGACCCAGGCAAGCCTTTCTGCTCCTTCAGGGTTCTGCCCAGCTGGGTTGTGGTGTGACATGGTGGCCTCAGGGAGGCTTAGGTGGCACTACTACAAGGCTGGCCCGGTGCCCACATGCACAACTGGGCCCTGAACCCATTGTGCTCCCTGAGAGTCCCACTGAGCACTCTTCGCCCAGCTGTTCCAGGGCTCACCCTCACTTCCTAGACCTCTGGCCTTCCTGGAAGTCTTGTCTGTGCCTAAGAAGCACATCTCCACATGGCTCTGTAGTCTCTTGTTCTGCTGTCTCGTGTTGCTTCATGATTGATGTAACAGATTTATTATTTTGTTTGTTTCCCCCAGCCTGTGAGGGGGTGGCTGTGTCCTGTCACCAAGATATTCTCAGCACCTAGAGCACACAGTACCCACTTAGTACATCGTTGTTGCCAGGGAAAGATTGAAAAAGGTATTCATGCCTGGCCACTGTGGCTCAGTGGTTGAGGGTCGACCTATGAACCAGGAAGTCACGATTCGATTCCGGTCAAGGGCACATGCCAGTCGATGATTCTCTCTCATGACTGATGTTCCTATCTCTCTCCCTCTCCTTTCCTCTCTGAAATCAATAAAAATATATTTTTTTAAAAAGAAAAGGGTATGCATGACAGTAACAAGTATAAGCCAATTAGCATCACCTTTTTGAATAATAGACAATACTGTAAACACCATGGGTGTCGTGTTGTTCATTTTTGTATCCCAGGGACTAGAATAGTCCCTGATAAGAGATGGTTGATAAACACCCCCAGTAAAAATAAGTAACCAGGCTCTGTGCCTAAGAAACTGTAAGGTGAGGAAGATTCAAAAGAGTCAGTGTGGAAAGTGAGAGCTGATTGAATGGAGAGTGTGTTGACAGTTGGCATGGGCCCCAGGTGTGGGTGGGGAGCATAAACTCACATAACACCGACTCATGCAGTTCTATGATGTCCCAGAAACACATGGTTGCTGGGGCTAACAATGGAGTGCTGGCACACCCCAATACAGCTCGCGGTCAGCAGCAGGGCATGGGGCCAGGGAACCAGTGATCCTGGCAGGAGGAGTTAAAGGGAGGGCCACAGATCTTACCTGGAAGGGGATGAAGTAAAGAGGGGGAGTCAGTCAAGGAGAGATGCTGGGAGCCACGTAAGGTCAAGGAGTCACTCTTGAGCACAGTCAACTAAGAAAGCTGAAAGGAAAGGGACTGTGGGTGAAGAATGGACAACTGAAGCACAGCTTCCCAAAGGGGTGGTTCCTGTGAGGACGATGCCTGAGACCTGGCACAGCTGTCCCCATGGAGTAGAACTCATTTAGGGGAAGACAAAACTGTGGTCCAGATGCTAACGGCCCCAGTGAATGAGAGGAAACAGGCTTGCAGCAGAACGTGGGTGAGGAGGAATGAGGGCTGTGGGTGTGGGAGACACCCTGCTCTACCTGGAGGCAGCAGGGAAGAACCAGCAAGACCCTTTTACACTCCATGGCATTAAAGCTTGGCTAGACCAGCCAGAGTGGCTCAGTTGGTAGAGCATTGTCCTGTGCACCAAAAGGTTGCTGGTTCGATTCCCTGTCAGGGCACATACCTGGGTTGTGGGTTTAATACCCAGCTGGGGAGCATATGGAAGGCAACTGATCAATGTTTCTTTCTCACATCAGTATTTTTTCCCCTCTCTCCTTCCCTCCCTCCTTCTCTCTGTCAAAGCATGTCCTCAGGTGAGGGTTTAAAAAAAACAACAACTTGACTTAGAACAAATTCTTCCATATTAAGAATAGGGGAAGTCAGTTCTTTAAAGTAATTTTGTTTCTTACTGCTTGGCTGAGAAACCTGGGAATATAAGGGACTTTGATGCAATAGAGGGGAGAAAATAGACTTGAAGGAGACCACCATGCCCAAAACCATCTCTAGAATCCAGAACCATGTCTCATCCTGGCATCTCAACAGAGCCTTCTACCTTACACTTGATTACACATTTATGCTAAAATAAAATCAAAGTAACCTTAATAAAATACAAATTGCTATTTCTCTAACATAATAATTTACAATATAAATATCTCATCCCTAAGCCAGTATCTTAATTAACAGGGAAACACTAAAAGTGTTTCCTATAAAGTCAGAAATAAGACAAGTATGCCTACTATCTCTTATATGTTTTTTAAAATTGTGTTGGAGGTATTAGCCAATACAAGTAGACAAGACAAATCCATTAGGCAAGAAAATAGGTATTGGGGTTTTTTTCTATGTGTGGATGAAATGATTAAATAACTGATGGATCCAAAAGAATCAATGAAAAAATAAATATAGTTGGGGAAAGTAATTACAAATTATATCACAGACAAAGGGTTAATATCCTTATGTATAGCCCGGCTGGTGTGGCTCAATGGATATTCAGTCATTGACCCATTAACCTTGAAGTCACTGGTTTGATTCTGGGTCAGGGCACATGCCTGGGTTGCAGGTTCAATCCCTAGTAGGGGGTGTGCAGGAAGCAGCCGATTGATGATTCTCTCTCATCATTGATGTTTCTATCTCTCTCTCTCCCTCTCTTTTCCTCTCTGAAATCAATAAAACTATATTTTTAAAAACATACTAAAATATCCTTATGTATAAAGGACTTCTAAAAAGGAAAAGAAAAATGCAAACAACCCCATATGAAAATGGACAAGTGATTTGAACAAAAGTTCACAGAAAAAGAACTGCAAATAGCTCTTAACCTACAAAAAGATTATCAACTTCACTTGCAATAGAGAAATGCAAATTAAACTTGCACTCTAATGCCATTTCTTAACTATCAGATTGGCATAAGTTCCCAAACTTGTTGGCAGTGCTCTGGTGGGCAAAAGGGCACAGCCCTGTGTGTGTGTAGGGGGGGAGGGGTCAGGGGGTAATTTAGCAATGTCTAATGAAATTATACACCCATTTTTCCTTTACCCAGCATTCCCATTTCTTAGTATCCACTCCCGAGGTACACTGGCAAAGATACATGAAGAAGTTGCAAAAGATTCTAACTGCAGCATTATTTGTAATAGCAAAATTGGAACTAACCAAAATGCCCATCAAAAGTGAGCTGGGTGAATAAATTAGGATGCTTTCACTCAGTGAAGTATTATACAGCTATAAAAACGGATGAAAAACAGCTATATATATTACTATAAAGTTATCTCTAGAATGTATTTTGAAAAAAACAATGGATGAAAATGTGCTCTTTATATCTAAAAATAGGGAATGAAGAGGGAAGGCAGGGGAGAGTGGGTGGGAAGAAATCAACCAATGAACTTGTACTCATATATGCATAACCCATGGACACAGATAATGGAGTGGTGGGGATCTGGAGGGGGGACAGGAGCCAGCTGGGAGAGGTTAATAGGGGGGAAAGAAGGGCCTATGTAATACTTTCAACAATAAAGATTAAAATAATAATCCTATCTAATAAAAGAGAAACATGGTAATTAGCGTACGACCGCTACCCTTCCCATTGGCTAATCAGGGCAATA